TGATCTCTTCATTTATAAATGGACATCTCCGATGTTTGATTTTAATTTTCTTAATAGGTGCATGATTATCCAGAACCCAGAAAAAGGCTTTATTGAAATGAAGCAGTTTCTCATTTACATCGTCAGACAAAATGTTTTCATACCAAGGGATCTTGTTAAGGTCGCTCAAAAAGCTCTGAGGATCGTAGTACTTATAGCTCCTAGCGACAACATAAGCAGCCGGTGGCTTGGGCATCCTTAGATTTAACGCAGCAAAAACTAAAAAGTGATCGCTGATGTGAGTCTCCACTATACCGCTATCCACAATTATTGCCGGGTTTGAAGTAAAAATGACATCGGATCCAACAGATCTTGTGCTGTCTGAAAGATGCTCTCGCTGCCCCTTGTATTATGTCAATAAATTCTGACGAGAACTTGTTCCATAATGGCATAAACCTAAGAGGAGGCCCTGGCACATAACAGGAAAAAAAGATAGATGATTCATTGACATTTTTAACTTCTAATAGATTGCACTTTCATTCCTCGTCAACCTCATTGTGTTGTTTGAGTAAAATAGGAGTATTAATTAAAAGCATGACTAAAATACAATTAGGTTTAAGCATAAACTGGAAAATCATTGGCTGAATTAGGGATTGGTCATTATATGATACCTGAAAAATCCCCAAATTTATACAATTATAATTTGCGTTGACAAAGTGACCAATGGACTTAAATGTTGTCTTACACAGTTCAGGTTGTTACACATGTAAACCATGGTAAGGTTTTACAAAGCATTGTAAGTGTCGGTGACAGTGTTTATATGACTGAAAAGTTAAAATACGTACATTTGTCTTTAGAGTGAAACCTGTATATTTTATTTGTCTCATTTTTTCTTTCACTTTTCCCCACAAATTATTTTCCCTGCTGTGAAAATAATGTGTGATAAGATAGAAGATACATACGCAGATGTCCCAGAAGTACTGGGCTGGTTCCCTCCCAATAATAATAGTGGGCTGTGCCTACTTGCAAGGCCTTGCGACTTGCCCAGTAAGAATAAAGTTAGGCTTTTCCCACGATTTTTTTCACAGAAGAGGATCAGTCCAATATTGCTTTCACCTTGAAAGGAAAAAAATCAGATAATGGTGTAGTTCAAATGATGAATGATAATGATGTGAAAAGAATGTGTGATCAGATAGTCAGATATATCTGACTGGATTTGTTAAAACTTTGCCAAAGAAATTTCAATTGCATTTTAACTAATTTTACATCAGAAAATAGAGATAAAGTTTATGATCCTGAACCAGGCAAAGGCTTCACCAGGCCCAACTCCAGGAAATTAAAAAAAGCCAGCTGGATACTGCGCCACAACAAGATAAGCTTCATACTGTATCAATACTCAGAGTTGTTCCACCAACCGATACCCTAGATCACCTTAAGGATTGCGGCAAAATTACTGAAAAAATCTCTCTCTATGTATGCCATTGCGGAAATGTTGTACATGATCTTGATCATGAAGTGTCTAAACCTGTTGATAACAATGTTGTTTACATTAGGCCGGGGCTTTGTGTTTTGCCTCCTACAAAAAGTATTGTGTCAAAAATAACTCACGTATGATTGTTAACCCAGTTGGAAAACCCAAACTTATGACTAGCCGCATATGACTGCTGGTAGGAGCGGTTGCAGTTGCCATGTCGTGGCCTTTAAATGGAAATGGGATGAAAAGTCATGGAACAATGAAATGAAAATCAATGCGAGAATAATGTTCCTTGCACTTCTTAGCCAAGCGTAAGCTTTAGAAATAGTCTCAAGCTGATCGCATTCTTGTGAGAAGTACGACCAGTCGGAAGATTTGCGGTAAGCTCGATCTAACATGGTGGTAATTAGACTGCGCTTGTACCCATTATCCTTACCGATTAGCTTAAGTACCCGAGGCACCTATTCAATCTGGCTGTCAAACAATTCCTAGTTTCCAAGGTAGCAGACCAGCAGCAAATTCCATCAACCGACACAACTCCAGCCCCCATCCGAGTTGTCATACCATTTAAAGATCAGGTCTCTGCTAATATAATGAAAAAACGTCTCACAGACCTCAGCTTAAAAATCAAGACCACTATTCAGCCCTTGTTCATCAGCAGAAAACTCAACGAAGACCTTAAATTTCGAGAAGTCAAGCCAGCCATTGTTAACCAACAATGTTTAGTTTATCAATTTCAATGTAATCTGTGCGATGCAGGATATGTTGGTTATACTCGCAGCCACCTCCACGAACGCGTTGATGGACACAAACAGAAATCGTCGTCAATTTGTAAACATTATCTTAGCAAACATAACTTGGACGTACCACCTTTACTTTCAGAACAATTTCATGTGCTTAAGGAGATGCTCTTTATAAGAAAACTCAAACCATCCCTAAACGTGCAGGCAGACTCGATTCGCGCAAAGGTATTCACTTGAAGAACTTGTGATCCTTTGTTATTGTGCTAATTTGTAGAGACTATAGAATTTAAATGTTCGCATTATTTATTCATTTTGCCTTGAGAATGGTGTTATGATGATACCGAAATGTCAGCTTTTAACGTTAATATTCGCTTGATTATATCTTGTCTCGCTGAGCCAATTGAACACAGTCAACAATACAGATACTGTAATTGACCTGAACTTGAACAGAAATCATGTGATAGATCAGCCCTTCAGCATGGATCAACAAGGAATTGTTTCAGCAACAGGCACCTTTTATTATGGCATCATGGCAGGAGATATTAGTACACCTTTAGAACTTTTTTGACCAATACATTTTACCACAATTAGCATACCCCAGGCTCACGTTTGCATGCGGTATGACCTCAAGTTAAGTTTTGGTAAATCAAGTAAGTCGTTTTAGGTTACTGTTAGCACAAGTCTTTTATTCACTCTGAACCTACATGTGGAGAATCCCTTATTATAATCTACTGTCACAACCTGTAACAAATTAAATGTTTGTACACGAGCTATTAATTGTGTGATATTATTATACCTTATATCCATTCCCTTCCCCCCAGAAGTAAAAATTTGAAAAATATTTTTTCCAGGTGTATTTATGAATGGAAAACATCGTCAGTATTTAATTGAGTGGCATCTCTCACACTGCTATAATAAGTTAGACGGGAAATGCTTGGTTCTATAATACCTCCAAAACGCTATAAGTAAAGTAAAGTTTCATATAATCTCAAAACCCAGTGTAGACTAAGTGAATATCATCTTGGTTTTATGAGAAGCGTTCCAGACCAAACGTGAAGACTTACTCTTTCTTCCTTGCTTTAGGAAGTTATTTTTGAAGGATTTCCACTTCTAAAAGTTTCTCTTCAGCCAATTTTTTTGATCGCTGGAAGACCCATAAATTAACAGCTTGTACTTTATCGCTTAATGACAATTCTTCTGACCTTTTTTTTTTCTCATGGGATACTTTTCCTTATGTCCCCGTTATTCTTTAACATTTGATTTGGCTAAAGACCAGGCAGAAACAGTAACGGATGCCTCCTGTTTTTAAGTTGACCTTTCTATGTCCGACGAGACTAATTTTGTACTGGTACAAAGTGCTCTGAGCAACAATATTCCTTTTTCCCATCTACTACTTGATTGAGGATCTGATGAAAATTGTTTGGTACATAGGTGAGATCCGGCCGTTTTTCACTTTGATTATTTTATATGGGTGCAGCACTTGACTGTCTTACTTTGCTTACAAGAATTGTTACGTCGCCATTTTGAGTATGAGGGCCTTCAGGCCTCGCTTCCATGCAACTTCCGCGTTTTTCCTGAATCAGCGTATTATGGGAAGTTAGGAAAAACATTTTTGTGGGGGGTGTAACCAATTAATAGCCAGTGAGAAACTCATCAAATTCGAACTACTGTGGCTTATCCGGTACCGATTAAAAAAAGTAAAATTAAAATTAAAAAATGCTCCACTACAAGACTCAGTCGGATACATACGCAGATGTCCCAGAAGTATTCTGGCTTCCTCGCGATAGTAATAGTGAGTTGTGCCTACTTGCAATAAAAAGGTCTTCTGATGACCACAGAAACGATTAAACTGTTTGAAGTATTTACTTCGATTCAATTCTCATAGCCAATAAATGAAATGCCCTGGTTCGCTCTAGGCACTATTATGACTGATAGAAATCAAGTAAGTTTCTTTCTTTGTAAAATAAATCAATAAAGTCGTTAAATTTTCTAAAACACGTACCCTAGCATCCTCCAAATTTTGTGTCCACATTAGTCTTGATAGACTAAAACTCAGTGCCATTAAAAATTGGCCATAATTTGGTCCACGATAAGTTGACACATTGAGTAAGCTACTAAAATATTAAACAAAAAGGATAAAACATGGTTATGTACATAAACAATGTAAGAATAATTTTTTGAGGGGGAGTACTTACCTCACGACCAGGGATTAATCTCATAATGGTCCCAAATTTTTTTGATTTGCAAGATCAAATTGAAATTCAGGTTGAAATATTTTAACCTAGGCTAATTATCTATTTCCTTTGTCTACTCACCCTAACTGATCTGCCTAACCCTGATAAATGAAAATAGTGGAGATAAAAAAAAAGGTAGTGAGATACTATTTTGTCCAGTAACATTATACTGGTTAACCCTTTTTATGTTGGGAGAATGTACTGTATATAACAATATTGTTGTTTAGTATATATATACTCAGTGATCTTGGTGATTCAAGCAACCTGATTGGTTCGCTATCTCGTAATATTCACCACGCTAGGTGCTGAATATAAAGCAAAACAAAATTGCTGTCGTGAACTGGGTGTTTTGCCAAGTTTCAGAGCAAGAACTTTTTGAAAATACAAGAATATCCCAGAGTTGATGATTTTGAAGGTAAGAAAAGACTCTGTGGTGTTAAAACAGCATTATTTTATTGTGAAGTGACTTACTGTAGCTGACTTTCATAGGCTTGCAGCAATGTTTTTATTGACCACTACAGAGAAAAACAAGGAAACTTTGTCACTGTTTTGTGAACTCGGGATTTCCTCCCAAGACTATTTTGCCTGGAAATAAATGTTAATTTATGGAGAAAAAAAGAAAAGCAACTATTTTTGAAAACTGTTGTGGCAAGGAACACTGCACTGCAGAGAAACAACACTCACCTCAATCGTAGCTGCCATTGACAGCATTTGCAAGAAATGACAAAAAAACTTTCTCATTCATGGTGAGTTGAAAAAAATTAAAACTATGATTTTCCATGTTTGAAAATATGGTGAAGATCGAACTGTTGCACATCAGCTGTTTACAGCTACATGTTCGTGCATGAATTCACCTGTGCATCAAACTAATCGTTTTTTAATGGTTTTGCTTTTGATTCTGTTGAGATCACTTCGTGTGTATGTACTAAAACAATTTTTCACCTCAGGCTCAGGGCGAGACTTCGTCTAGGGGATTATTCATCAACATTAGCTTTGCCTTCCACCACTCGCTAGCCACCTCCGCTTTGGTGAATAATTATTTAGTATGTACTAAACCATTGAGATAATTGAGCACAAACATGATGATCTCTTAACTCATTTACTGTTGCCAATGTTTACAATTTTGACGCGCAATGACCAATTGGCCGCGGTTGTTGCTTTTTCTTGCTGACAAATAAAACTTTTGAAGGCATTTGTTTACGTCTTGCAGGGAAATTTCTTCAAAAGAAGTTGGGAGTTGTTATGTTTTTGTATTTAAAATCATTCTGTAAAAAAGATAACTAAATTTAGTTTTAAGCTTATTTATGAATAAGTCGACTAAATAAAGTGATGCAAGACTTCAGCTTAATCTCAATTTGTAAACAAAAACCTTTTTCACCAGTTTTATTTATAAATTCATGTAAAAAAGACAAAGCTTTACTTGTCAAAACTTCCAAACTGAACTTCGTCACCTTCACGTATTTCGGGAACAGCTTACTTGATTAGTTGTGAAATTTCTGTGTTTGTTACGGCAGCAAACCGTGAAGGCATTTTGCTCGCAACTTACATGAGTTTGGCGTTGCTCGCTCGGAAGAACTGGAGGTGAATCTGTGAATAGTGCAGGATATTCACTGATTGAGTACCCAATCAGGCACGCGAAAAACACTATCCATTGTTTTATTATATACTAAACTTAGATATTACCCAGCTTGGGTTGGTCCCTTCTGAATAACAAATAAGTTGCTGTTATTTCTTTGATTAATTTAAGAGGCTGGAGAATAGGTCATCACTGGGACAACAATTGCATAATGACCGAGCACCCGATAAGAGGACTGGAAACTAAACATTTAAACGCTTTTTTCCTACAAACTAGCTGTAGACAGAATTTTTGCAAAAGCCAAAAAATGTGAAATTTTCTCTCTTTTATGATAACTGAAAACTTGTCTACAGCATTTGTTTAACAATCGTCAAAATTTGAACTTAGGTTGCATGGCTGTTTTTTAAGAAAAAAGGCCCTTAAACATTTAGTTTCCGGATATTGTGGGACATTACCATCCAGTGAGGCCATATTATTGAGGTAAGAAGACCTGACATTGTTGTTGTTGAGAGAGTAACAAGGCAATTATTCTGGATATTGCTTCATCATGGGATCACGGCGTTTATGAAAAGGAGCATGAAAGGTTGAGAAATAACAAGAGCTGAAGAGGGAGAGTACAACATTTGGGGTCTTTGTATTGTGGAAGTGGTGCCAGTAGTGCTTGGTTGGTGCTCTTGGTGCAGTAAGCAAAACGCTGGATACATGGCTTGACAAGATGGGGAGTACCATAAATACGCGTTCACTGCAGAAAACACCCTTGTTAGGAACAGCAAGGATCTTAAGAAAGGTCTTGGAAAGGTAACGGAAGACAATTAACCCAAGGTACCTTTGGCCATTGGCTATGGCTCGCTTCCTCAGTGTAATGTCAGTTCAACATCCACCAAAGCTAAAGCATTCTGTTGATAATAATACTGAAAACAATACAACTTTATTAAAAACTTGTTAAAACCTTAACACAAAAGCAATAAAACTTGCAGTATACGTACACGAAAATCTCAAACTAAAAACATAGGGCTCTCTTAGTTCTGCTAAATTTGTTTATTGTTCTTTCACTACCAGATCTTAAAGTATAAATTAAAAAAAGAGTTCTTGTTTCAGATTTGGGAATGAGGAATAGTATTGGGTTATTGTTATTGCTAGCCATACAAGAGGCAAATCGACAAGACAGGAAAGCCCTTCTATTTGCTACAGATGAGACGTGTGCCTCTACGAGGGCATGATTATAGGCTGTGCATTCATAATATGTAATTTCGAGTGCTCTCTTTTGAATACATTCTATCCTATAAGAGAAGTACTCTGGAATGTCCTGCCAGTCTTGGATTGCATACTCCAAAATTGACCTAACATTACTTTATGGCTATAGCAATAGGGAGGCGACGGTAATGGCAACAAGAAAGCCGAAACAGCAATAGGTTTATTAGGCAAAACAACAAGGTTGCTCATGTATCATGCTTTTTTTGTATGTTGATTTCCTGTTACTGCACGACTATGACG